CTAGATCTATCGAGTTTGACATGTCAGGTGGATTAGAGTGGACCATAGGGAATCTGAGAAAGTGTCGGAAAATTTGAAATTGTCAAAGGCTGAGAGAGTACATGGTATATTCTGTGGTGTTCGGTGCACATGAGAAAAGTGCGGATGACAAATACAGAAGGAGGTGGAGTGCTATAGCCGTGGGACATGTCAGAGACTATCCAGGAAAAGGGTGAGACAACTGTGGATTTGACTCAGGGTGAGACAGGGCGACGGCGAAATCCCTTCGAGTTCCAAACAAGCAGTCAAGAAAGAGTGGTGACGTTGAGTTCAGATAACTCTTATATGTGGTGTCCAATATGTGAGTTGTTTATTTTCACGCAGACAGTGGTCGGTGTGTGATGGCGTTGAACGGATTCTCCGGAAGTTGAGAGCACAAAGTAGAGTAATGAGGAACTTAATTTTGCTTGAGTGTTGACTGTGAAGAAGACGAGAAGGGACTACAGTTGCAGGTGGAGTCATATGGAGTCTGGGAGTAGCAGCGGTGCTCATGGTGTATCTCAAGTCCAATGTACATGAAGGTTCGACGCATGGATGAATCCAAGATGGTGAAGAATATTCGCCAAGGTGGAGTTTGTTAGAGTTGTGTCGAATATTATTGTACAAGGTAGGTTACAGTTGGATTTGTAGTTGTATTGTGTTTAGATAGGATATAGAGTCGTTTCACACGATGTAACATATATCCTAGGCCTCTCATATATAGCGAGGGTAGACACACGATGTAACCTATGCCAACATAATAGCACATGCACGCGGAGGAACCGGCGGCGTGTGCCGGCGCCCGGGTGGCCAGGGTGCGGTATTGTGATGGTGCCACGGGGAGGAGCGCCCGTAGTCAGGCCCCGGAAATGTAGCCATATCGGTGAACCTCGTTAACAAATCTCAGTGTCGTGCTTCATGTAATTGCTTGGTTCTTGATGGATCGACGGTGGCTTCAGATTAATTCTAACACCCCGAAGGGCCAACCTGGTATCTTGGCACCCCTCCCCCCCTCTCCAAATTCTCCTACTGCTTTTCCAATGAAATTTCTCACTGTATGAGAGGTGGCTTTGTTCACCCCTCTCTCTTGGATTTGGGAAGAAATCGTCTGCATGCCCAACTAAACTACATGAGAAGCAAAGTATGGTAGATTTTCATTGGTTATCATAGGACACCCGCCCCCTCATTCGAGCTAACTTGAGTTGCACCAATCTTATTAATGGCTCATTAACATTGATCTTCTTACCCCCAATGACTCACCATAAGCGAATCCTTTAGCACTGACATCGACTTTAATCACCTCACCTAACATCTCCACAATTTTTAGTGGCAATGGATGATATCGAAGATTAAATGTCCGCTTAATAATTCTAACTCATATCTACAATTTCTCAAATTTTCAGTCTGCTGGGCAAGACCGGTGATAAAAAATCTCCAACACTACTGCATACATCCATGGGCCTCCGTCCAAAATCCTATCTCTATCCTATTTACCCTCAAGATTGGCCACACACATTTTTCTCCAACTGAGTTAAATGAGAAACCTCTCGGGTTACCCCACCCTAGGAGTAGAGAATCTACAATTGTGTTCACATGTAGCATTTTCGGTGCAGAACCTTGCTAATCAGCGCCCACTACGGGAGCCCCTGATTCTCCACCTGGTCATCCACTATCAATTATGTGCTTTACTTCTCCAGCGAGGGCACCCTTCCCACCATTCTCTCCACTCCCCCACCATCCTTGCCCCGATTATCCGAGCTTACCATGTCCGTCGCCCTCCACCAAAACCCTAGTTCTCGACGTGCCCACCAAGGCTGGGTGGGACAATAGGAAACCCCCCACAATCAACCTCAAGTGCGACAACCCAACGGATGAGGCGGGCACTGACCTAACAGGTCAGATAGCACTACCACAGGAATCATGATCGTGCCCCGGAGATCAGAAATCACCATCCATGTTGCCGCTCGGAACCCTAACAAAACGATTCAGGGCCTGCCTCTGGAACAGCCTTGTTAAAACCCAGGAACTTGTAGAAGCAGCGACTGAGAAGTCGTCGATGTAGAGAAGACACTCACGACTGGGTTATGGATAGACCGTCTCTCCTAGAGAAGCTGGTACCAAGGAGGGTCTGAAGCTAACCCGAACTCCATGGGACACAAACCTCGTAAGTTCCCTGGCGGAGCCATATTGGGTCGAGCTTCATCGAACTAAAATGAAACTAGAGAACCAAAACACGTCGCGATGCCATCCCCTTTGCAAGGAGCCGCTGTTGTGGACATCAGACCGAATGTGTGTTGATGGACACCATCCTCCCGTTACCACTATGAGGAAGGGTATCGACATGGGGAAAGTTGAGGAACCATTACTTTGATAGCACCCGTTGTCCCAACTTCATCGTCGATGAAGAACACAACTTTTTTTCGTTCCCCCATCCCCTCCCGTCGCCGTAGAGGCGAGAAGAGGGCAGGGAACCCATGCCGCCGCCAGCGGGCCGAGGGCAAGTGTTGGGCGCTTCCTACAAGCGAAACCCTATAAAGTTACTGTGCAACACATGACATTACGAGAAACAACATAAACCCATGACAATCTGTGGTTGAAATCGCGAAAACCCACCGTTTCTCATTTGTTTTTCTAGAAAAAAAAATCTACAACTCAGACGCAATGGCCGAGAAAATTTTCTCACAGCTGTCAGGCTAGAAGGAGGTAAAATTGCATATAGCAGTGTGGAAAAGGAGCTCGGAATGCTACGGGGATCCGCGTTGCCGTCGGGCTCTGCGCTGGGAAAGACCGGGTAGGGACGTGCAGGTGCATGTAGCACAGTGGCACGATGCCCGCCCTGGCCCTGCGCACGCGGCTGTCTTGCGTGCACAAGCATGTGGCGGATCATGCGTCCATGTGCATGTGCTGCTGCTTCCGCTGGCTGGCACTGGCAGCTGCGCAATCTCACACACACTCACAGCGGCAAAGAAGTTCCCAAAGAAAGGCAGGCGGGCAGGCGCACGACGCCGTGGGAGCACCACATGGATCCGTTGATTGGCGATGCCGGTGCGCTGATGTCGCTACAGCAGAACCAAACCGATTCGTCGCCGCAGAAAGCCAGAAAAGGCTCTTTAACAGAGGGACGAAGCCGAACCCGGCCTTTTTCCCAGAACTGACGCCGAATCCCTTTCCGTGCCCGCCCAACTCGCGCCCCCTGCAGTCCTCCGTTCCAGGTCACCTCTGAAAGCTTCACGAGACTGACCACACGAGCGATGCTGGAGACCACGCGAGCTTGAGAAAATTGGGAAAACCGGGCGCACGAAGCACACCACGGGGACGGGGTCCGGGCGAGTCGACACGTCGCGCGGCATTGATGGGCATGGCAAGATAAGAACTGAAAATGTGGATGTGCAGATCTTCGTGGTGACGTGCGAGTGCGACCGCTGTGTATGTTTACGGGCGGCTGGCCAAGTCTGAGACGGCTGCGAATGGGGTGGCGCTACGCTTGTTCAGAGAAGAAAACGCCGTGGCTCTGCTTGATTGCTTACAGTTACAGACAGTCAAGGTTGCCGGTCTGGTTTGGCGTCGTGCCAGACTGACGTGACGACGGGCCGGGTCAGGGGAGTGGGAGCGGCAGCGGGAGATGGCGGCTTCGATGATTGCGAGGAGGGGAATATGAGACGAGAATATCCGTTTGGCAGGACGCGGATGGCATTGGTAGCAGCATATCCTGATCCTAGTGGGTGCCCAGCTTCTTTCTTTCTCACTCCTGGAAGTGGAACGGGCCAGCCAATCGGTGCCCGTGTGCCCGTGCTGTTAACTCGTTTGGCACCCTGTTCCTAGTTGTTCCTGCGCGATCTCCAAACTGGGGGTCAACCTATGACGGCACCGGTGGTCTTCTTTGTTGAGATGGAAGCACCGGACTACTACCACGTATAAGATTTGTCTAAAGTCAAACTACAAAATGTTTGTAATACTCCCTCCGTAAACTAATATAAAAGCGTTTAGAATACTAAAATAATGATCTAAACACTCTTATATTAGTTTACAGAGGGAGTAGTTGTTTGATACCCTGTTGGTACTTGTTCCGATTCACTTTGATTATTTGTTCTACTGTACCTCACTAGCTGCTTTTTTTTTTCTCTTCTTCTTCTTCTTTTTCTTTTTGAGCGGACCTCACCTCACTAGTACGTAGTAGCTGCTTGACGGCTGTTACACAAAGCATCAGACTTCAGACAAGAACCTGCGTTCAAGCATGGAAGGTCGTCCGCTTATTATAAGGGAGACGGATGGCCCAGGCCCAGCCCAACAGATGAAAAGGCCGGCTACGTGTCACAGTAATCCGTGAATTAGCACTAAAAAAAGTAATCCGTGAATTTCGCTCAAGGATCAGATTAGCACTGTCAGGTCCCTTCAAAAAAAGAAACTAACCAGGGAATGTTCGGTTAAACTACTACTCCCTCCATCTCATAATATAATATAAGAACATTTTTAGCTGTTACTAAGAAAAAGAACATTTATAGCTTGAAAAATGTTCTTATATTATGGGGCAGACGGAGTGCTGATCTAAAAAAGGGTTCCACTCCTAACTTTTGCTTACCGAAATTTCAAGGGCTAAATACACACCGAGTCACTGTCAAGCACCCAAACAGAATTATAAAGTAGCGCAGTATAATTCTAAATAGCTGACAATGAGTCCAAATGTAAGCAAATTTTTCCGGACAAATTTTATGCATGCAAATAGTGCACTTGCGACTTCAAATGATGGGCGATCTTGAGCCTTCACATACAATGGAAGCTTATTCCTCCAACAGAATGTCCACAATACAGCTGAGCTACCAGTTCCTCCGCAAAATGGGGAGCGTCGCGTCAAAAAAGATCTAACCATTATACACTGACGGTCAGGGTACACACAAGGAACAACACACGGTGTGGGAAGAATTTCCTATAGCTATGTGCACTGCAAAGAGAGGCGTAAACTATCAACAAGCAGGGGCAAAACTTTACGCGTTGAACAGCTTACGGAACGGCCCGTCCTTCCGGTCTTTGGCCGCCTCTGTCAATGCTAGGAACCTCTTGAACCCCGTCGTGGCGGCGCCGCGCCCGAGCGCTGCGGCGCGGGCGAGCACGTCCTCCCGGTTGGCCAGAGCGCCCGTCAAGGCGGTGGACATGCTCGGTGACGCTGCGACGGCTTGGGTTGGGAGCGGGACTGGTGCCATCGGGACTGATGCTGTGGCTGTGGCAACTGGTGGCGCGGCTGTGGGGGTAATGGTAGGGTGCTTGATGCTGGGACTGTGCTTGTTGAAGTCTTCCAGTATAGCTTGTTGGTCTGCTTTCTTCAAGCCCTGTGGCAACGCGCAAAGAGCAACAGAAACAATGAAGCTGTGTTAGGCAACCATACCGATGGAAAGCTGCACCTGGCGTATAAGGAGTTCAAATTTTTAAGCAAAAACCTTAAGCTCAAGTATCCGCTGAAACTCAAGAGGCGTGCCTTCTGGAAGGAGAGCACGGTAGGTACTGGCAACAGAATCAACTGGTGACAAAATAACCTGCATTGAGTAATGTTATTAGCTTGATCCTATCTGGGTGTAATGCAAAGTGCCTTTCCACAGTACTCATGTAGACCATCGAAACCTAAATTCATTTTTCCCAATTTACCTTGAGGAGTGCTTCAGCTTTGCTCATTTCCCGGGTTACAAACTTTGAGTAGCTAGCCGCAACTGTAGTCTGTTACACGCAATACAAAAAACCAAGTGTGAGGTACGAAAAATAACGCAAAAAAAAAGTCTTTTTGCAACCAAGTATAAAGTGCAAATATGCTGCCTTGTGAAGCCAACAAAGCAAATTCATTGCACTCATTGGCTGCCAACCTTCTTTGAGTAACATTTTGAATTTGAACAATTCTAAACATATTTTACTATTTGCATGGCCAATTTCTTTCAAAGATTCAATGAAGACTTAGTACAAAATAATTACTACTCCACCTGGCTGGTTTCCTAAACCAGTCACTGTTAACTGAAAATACGTAGGCTATGCAGTATGGCGTGATGATTTTGTTCTGGCAAGACAAGGTTACCTGTTTCCCAAGAGCTGGGATGTCCAATAGAACAGTCTTAACCGCTTGAGTATCCAAAAGCATCTGAAGAAACAATGCAAAGTGATGAAATCTGTGCTAAATAGTAGTACTAAATAGCTTTTTTAAATTCATACGCACCTGCTGTGCACCAGTTTCCGATATGTGCTTGCACTTGTATATATTGAGATAAAACCGAGGACCAAGCGAGGCAGCCAGCTGCAGCACAACAATGAAAAAGGTATAATAAACAACGTTGATAGAAAAACAAGTGATAAGGACCTACAAGGTTTTATCTATAATAAAGAAAATGCTGAACTTACTTTGTCGAGGAAATACTGGAAGTAAGTAGGTGAAAGCAGGCTACCTAGCGCAGGAACGGTACTGGACAAAATAGAGCTGATACAATTCACGTACCTGGAATGGAACAATGTAAAACTTAGCTTCAAATAGAGTAGGGAAAAACTCAGTGAAACCACTTAGCAGTTATTTATAAAGTTGAATAAACTGAAGAATACAGCGTTCCAAACTTTCAATGAACTGATTTTTATGACAATAAATATGTAGTGCAAACATATTTGTGCTCGAGTGTGCTAGTTTTAGCATGAGCCATTGGTTGGACTATTTAGAAAAACTCGATGGGGCGATAACTTCGAATTTTAGGGGATTGCATGCAAATTCTGCATCCATGCTTCTGCCATGAGAGTTGGTGTATATGCATCTCTTTACAAGTAACGGCATGCCGCTTCCCATAATACAGACCCCAATTGGCAGTTCATATCAAATATCCTCTTCTTTTCAGTCAGAGAAAACCAACTACATCAGCTATGAGATATGTGACATCATTGCAATTTTATGGAACAGATACATTTTTCACAGCCCATGAAATATAGGCCATGGGGCAGTGAGTGGCTTAGCATAACTTCATATTACTTTCAAATATTAGTGGGGGGTGTGCTATAAAGGGGATTTGGCAAAATCCTACTCGGATTGATCGCCGACACTTTCAAGAGTCGACCATGGAACGCGAGTCATTGCAACCATTTCAGCGTCAAATTTGGTTTCTACGCCATGCACAAGTGTCATCAATGCTTTTGTGATCACAGCTGAGAATTCATCCTGCAAGCATTGAAGTATTAAGATATTTCCTAGAAATCTAATAGTGATATTAGAATTAGGTAGAAAGAAGAATAAAACAGAAAGATCAGTCACCTGAACGTCAGACACGTCCACCTTGTCAGAAAACTGAGAACTAATTATCTTAGCAACATTCTCAGCTAGCTCACCAGACTGCCAAATTTACAGAGAAAGTTAATTCACATGAGCATACAGAGGCATCACACACATGCAAGCACAGACATAAGGAAAGATTAGGTACATGCTGCTCCGTACTAAGCTTCCCTCTCCTCCAACCAACTTTGCACCGAGACTGACAACAGGCCAGCTATGCTGACAAACCAGCATATATGATGCCGTTTTTTGCTCAATTGCAATCAGAATAGTATACCATCTTTTTTTAATCAAGAAACGTAAAGCTATTGAAGGGACTTTCACCCAGGAAGCACTGTGCGGCCCATCTCTGGTGCCACCCACTTCCAATGCCAGCTTTCCGATGTGAAATGCATGGTGGCTGGGTCTTATGACGAGGGACTGGAAAAGTGCCAGGTGTTATGCTATGGGCATCACAACATGGTACGCTTGGAGAACTGTGGAGAAGGGCTAGGTAACTGAAAATATGCAGGGGTTCGATTCCAAAAGTAACCAATGTTGGCAGCATGTGTTACACACTTGTTTGCAGTGGGTTTTTTTTTTTGAAGTGCGGTAATAATTTATGACACATAGCTAACTTTCCCCAGAAGGGGAAGAAACGTTTTGGTGAACAGCAGAACTGTAAACATTTACTGGAGAATAGAACGCTACTACTTGAATGCATAAACCTAGAATTTATTTAGTCCGAACATGTTGTTTCTGTCTCTCCAAGCAAGTTCCATAATTCTTGTCGTGGACAGTAATTTATTTCTGTTTTCTTCTACACCTACCAGCTATGGCTTAATAGAAAGAAAACTTACCGTTTGGTGACAATATTCTGCGGTATTTACAATGTAACATATCATTTTCTCGTCCCTGTCAGAGGTCTGCAGTGCCCACAGAACATAAAATGCTGTTACCAGATGAGGAAAACAAGTGATCGAAAAGCAACCGGTGCAATGATGATTGTCATACCCTGATCTGCCCGTCGGTACCAGTAGCAGCTGCAACAATGCCAGTACCACCTTTTGGCAACCTGGCATATAATTTTGCTGCATAGGCCTTAAGTATTCTTTGAAATACCTAAAAACAAATGTATTTCATCATCAATGAATCTGTTTAAATTTATCAGATGTGATAACTTATAAAATCGGCAGACAGAACCATAGTCGCTGAACTAATAAACGTGTGTTCAGTTGAACCATATGGTTGATTATTCAAGGTTATTTCATGGCGCATTCTTGTTCTGTAGGATGATACCTGTCCTATACTCTTTTTAACAATTGAACGGTGGATAAGAATCAACATTAGACATTGCAAGGAAACATATATGGTTCTCCATATGCAGCAATTTTCGGTGATGGAAATGCCAAATCACCTAATGTCGAGTCCATATTAAATTTTAGCACACCTGGATCAAGCATCATTATACATAGCAAAACAAAATGCTCAATAATCACATATGGAGAAAGTCGATGGAATTGGAAAATTAAAGAAAATCTGAGAGGTGCGCAAACAGTATGCATGAAGGCATAACATTTGGAAAGAACATGGAATTATCCATACAAAGGAAAACTGTTAACAAAATCTGGAAACACTGTATACCTGAAACAAGTTGAATAATGTTTGGTTCTTTGTCAATGCACTGCACCTCTTTAAGCTTCTTCTAATTACCAAGAACACCTGCATAAGAGAAATTGCAAAGCAGATTAACATAATGTTTTGAAATATGTTGTGGACCATCAAATGCAGATTTGCACATGAGATCTGCTACGGACGGCTTCAGGAAAAACAAACATAGTTATAGCACACCGGCAAAGTTTTGACCAATCTTGAATTGCTATTTGCTATCAGTCACATGTAGTAAATTTGCCAGAAACAAGATTTCGAAGTAGCAAGAATTATTTCCCATACCTGCATGCTGCTTGATAGAATGTTTGTTTGACTCCCTTCCTCAATTTCCCATTTTTCTTCCTGCCAGCATAGAAGGGCGAAATCAAGCTAAGCAGGCTCAAACACCAAGAGTTCAAACTTTTAAGTATGTCTATACTTGTCTAGCGTACCTGGATAAGTTTATCTAATTGTTCGACCAAAGATTTCTCCTCTAGTTCTATGTACACAGCCATGTATGGCTCAAAACAAGATGATATAATCCCATGAAAGTTGAACTGCCAGAGTACAGAGCAAAATATGATATATATGAGTATATGACACATAGCTCGTAATTCAAAGAAGTAATAAACATGCACTGGCCCATAGTTGATAAACTACTAACCCCAGCACCAGGAACTGACAAATCTTTCTGCTTCTCTTTGTCCTGCCAGTAAAGAATTGCAGAAGAGTTGGAAAGAAAATATCAACAGAGGAAGAAAACAGTTGAGACTAAGCAAGTAAGCAGCAAATACTTGTTCAGCTTCATCATTGGGCACTCCCAGTTTCTTCTCGTATTTCTTCCGTATATCTGAAACAATTTTATTGTGTTCCGTACCCTCATTTTCATCATCACTTTCCAGCTCTCTATTCCGAGCAGTCGTGGTTCCTCCACTGAATTTCTCAGCCAGTTCTTCCTCAAATTCAAGGGTTCTTTGCAACGCCTGCATTGCACGAATCGCAGAGTGTTTGGCGCAGAAGTTCCATATCGTAAATGAATGATTGCACACTCAGTTAAAACATTCGACATATGTAGTATGACACAGCTCATAATCCAAGATATAAGCTGCTACGGCATTAATGCATTATGTTGTACATAATTCCGTTACTTCATTGATATTTGTCGCATTAAAACCAACAGAAATCTAACAATATACCAGAAGCAAGATGAAACCAATAGAAAAATCATCCAAAAGATAAAATGATTTGATATGATATAGGTATCAGTCGTCTGCACAAAATGGTAAGACAAAGGGCACATAGTAATTCCCATCTGTCACCCATACTTCCAAGAAATAACAAGCAACTTACCAATAATAAAGTTGCAACATCTGGCTTTTCTTTGAGATTATTCAGGATATCGACAAGTTGGGTCCTGGAAAAGAAGCAATTTGTTACCAGTAAACTAATTCGTCCAGCAGAAGATAATAATTGATCTGACATCTGAATGGTCAAATATAATTAGTGACATGATGCATAAAAGAGGATGTAAACTAAGTTAAGTGATGGTTGCTTTAGTTCTATGTAAAACTCCGTGCTTGGCGAAGAAAAGTAGGAAGTTCATAAAATGCAAAAGTGGAGAAGCAAAATCAAACCTTGTAATCTTGCAGAACTGGATACACAACAGATAATCAACATGCCAGGAAGGTGGAAATATTTTCCAGGTATCTTCATTTGACCGCAATCGACGCTTAATCCATGCATATCTCCTTTCAGTCTTGTCTAACTTGGCCAATTCTGTTCCCCCAAAGAAGCATCAGAATAATAATGGAGCAACATGTACACACATTTGTAATAAAGTGAACTAGACAACTGATGTATGTAACATATACAAGGTTTTGACCTGCTCCGTCAAAGATCTGCTTATACGAGATAAGCTCCTTGCTGCAAAAATTCTTTACTAGTTCTTCCCTCACGGACGGTTCCAGAGCATCAACCACCAAACAAGCATCAGATAGCTGCTGCAATAGATCCTCATCTTCTGTTTCCTTCCCAGTCCCTAAGCTGCAAAGTTATACTAATTTGTGGATCTGTTTCATAGTTTGAATTATATAGCAAACAAAATAGTTGGTTAATAAATACTCCCTCCATCTAAAAATAAGTGTCTTTGATTTAGTACAATTTTGTACTAAAGTTGTACTAAATCGAAGACACTTATTTTGAGATAGAGGGAGTACAACTTTGGCAGTGCTTCAATGTGTTCCCATTTCTCAGGCATGAAATAGTCAGGATTCCCAAACTGCCGGTCCAGCAGGGAAAGTATTTGATAAAGTAGCCTATTTAGGGAATATAAATTTTTATGGCTTTTTCAATCAAGTTATTTGCTATTCACTGGATTCGAACTATAGCCGCTGATAAAACCTCACTCATTGAGTGATAATACTTGAAAAATGACGAGGAAATGAAAAGGTGCCACTTCCCAAGTTTGGACACCTGTTTCTAGCTTACTCAGGGATTAACTGTCATTTGCATTGATCTTACTTGCAGTACCTGACTGGTTTACTACTCCAGATAGTGTTGCTACCAAGGACAAAACAAAGTTCATTTGTTGTGTACCTTGTAAAATCTGAATATACATGAGATTTGAGGATTTTCTTGATGTTCTTGAGTTTCTCTCTGAGCTCTGATATTTTTGGCACATCCCGATAGGCTTCAAAATGACTGCACAGCTGGTTCACTGCCTGAAGGGAAAAAAGGGTAATGAACTTTCCTGAATAACATATGCACACAAATAAAAGCACCAGCATGCCAATTCAAAATGGTTACAGTAAGAGGTAGCATGGAGATCAACGCTAGAAAGTTTGCAGATGTATCGCCGATTAATGTGTCCTACACGCTTACCTCGAGTTGTGCAGCTGCTTCTTTGTACTGACGCTTTGAGGCCATGACCTGAAGTTGCTCGACAGCAGAAACTGGACATGACATATGCACATTATGAATTAGCTTAGGTAGATGTATTTTTTCTGCTGAACATTTCTTTTTAAGCACAGTAGCGCGTACTCCAAATAAAGGGAAGTAAAGAAACTAACCAAGCATAGTAAGGCGGTGAAGAGCCGTTATTGTAGTTGTTATATGCCTCTTGGCGCAATCCAACTTCTTTATGTCCCGGCAGATTTCTTGAACCATTGTTTCACTTTGTTCAGCCTTCGTTTTTATTTCACGTATCTTATACATTAGTTCCTGTTAGTACAGAGCAAAGTTAAACTCCAATCATTCCATAAAGTATTCACTCCAGTACCTGATTAACATCCTACCCTTTTCCCCTAAATAGACATCCTACCCTTTCCAGAGCTAATCCAACTACAGCTTAGTAAGACTTGCCACTCAATCGATTATCGAGTAAGTTCATTGTGGGCAAAATGCAAATCATACAGAAAGGGGGAAGTATAACCTGAACAGCATTTGTGGCTGCAGCAAGTTCTTCCTTGGCCTTGGTTCCCGAGTTACTCTGTGGAGTAGCAATATCTTCCCGTTATCAGATATAGTATAACCATAAGCAACAATAAGCAAATACCAAACAATTCTGGAGCATATTCAAAGTAAATTCACTGCAATTGCATCATCATAATACCACACTACTTCCTCGTACCAAAGTACATAACACATCAGTTCTAAATGCAAAGAGCGTGGATATTGTGAACCACAACACTGCTACAAATGGATCACGAGATAACGAGCCCGAACCTGCTGTCGGACGGCGGCGAGGATGCTGGCGTCCACCCGGCGAATCTCGCTCTGAATCTTCTGCATCAGCGGCTCGACCCCCGACAGCGACGCCTCTGCCAAGCCGCAGAAGAACAAACGCAAGCTGTAAACCCTATAATCCTCGAGCAGCCAATGCTAAATCTCGGGACAGCGAAGCTCGAAACGAGCGCATTGCCGCCGCCGCAGCAGCAGCATCGCGAGCGAGCAGCCTAGCCGAGGAAACGGGAATCGAATTCGAGCGGCGGGCGTACCGGTGGGGAACATCTGGTTGATGTACTCGAGGGCGCTGGACTTGTCCATGCCGGGCAGAGATCTCGCCGCCCCGAGCGCTGGCTCCCCGAGGATCTGGAGGGTTCTAGAAGGATCTGGGAGCAGGGGAGCGCGACTGGAAGGGGGCCGATCCGATGGGACCCGGGCGGTTGGGGAGCCGGGCTCCCTCCCGCGTGCGCGGGGGAGGAAATGGAAGGCGGGGACTCGTCGGCGGGGTCGTCCGCGTCGGCGTCGGCGTCGCCCGCTCGACCGATTTGTGCTCGGCGGCGGTGGGCGCCGAGTCGTGACGAGTCGGTTGCTGGCAGGTGGAGCCCCGGTATACCCGCTTTCCTGCTCTGAACCCGAACTTCATCACTGGTAGTCAGGCTATTTTTTTTTTAACTTGTTGGTCGAGTAAAATGAAATGCACGTAGTGACTTTCTTGCTAGTGAGGGGGGCATGCAGAATTAGTGAGCTAATAATGGTACGAATATTCAAATATACTCCCTCCGTCCCAAAATTCTTGTCTTAGATTTGTCTAAATACAAATATATCAAATCACGTTTTAGTATTAGATACATCCGTATCTAGACGAATCTAAGACAAGAATTTTGGGACGGAGGGAGTACATAAGCTTCTAAAACCTACACTTAAAGTTCAAATTTCAAGGTTGGCGAGTTCCAATGAGGTTAGGGTTTGGTGGAGGAAGAGCCGAGCACGTAGCTTCTAACGCATTCACAAAGTAAGGGGGAAAGCCGATTACCACAACATCATCAAGCCCTCGCATCAATGCGTTGTTGATCAATGCTACCGCAACTAAGATCATATAGATGGTAACAAATCCGCTCGTTGCGCTCGTCGCTTTCCCACAATAGTGACTAGGCCCTAACAGTGACTTGGTCTAATTTTTTGAATTTTACGTGGACTGCAAAGCGGGTATTGGGTGGACTTGGCTTTGCTCATGTAATTGTTGTATGGTCGTCCAAATCTTGGTGGCATAGTCGATACAAGTTTTCGTTGTGTCGATTGTGTAGTTCATTTGGTACTGTTCATTGCTCTTGTTCATCTGTATGCTCATATAATTGCTTTTCTTGTTGATGTGTGTAGTTGATGCAGAGGAGAAATTGTTTACTGTGTAGTTGAATATTTCATTTTTTATTGTTGCGTAGTTGATGCAGGTTTTTTTGTGCAATTTTTTTTTAGTTTCACAGATGGATCGATGTGCCATCTGATCGTAATTTAACTCATGGATCTATGATATGTCATGATTTTTGTGATATATGGTGATCGCTGTGTATGCATGCAAGTTGTTATGCCAGATTGGAACAAAGATTAACTAAAGTAAAATCAGTGAAACATGGCTAAAATAGTGTGAAACCAATACCAGTTAAACGACACACCATTTCAATTCAGTATAAAACTCAGACGGCAATAACTGAAAAGGACAGGGAACTGGACTTGGTGTCAAATTAAAAGAGCAACAGAGGAAATTTGGTGGAACAAAGGCACCATATGTTGTGGGGAAATAAGTTGCTTCCATAGTACTCCCCCTGTTCACAAATATATGATGTTTTAGATATTTCAAAGACTGCATACAGACTGAAATGAGTGAACACACACACTAAAACATGTCTATATACATCCTATTCAGAAAAGAATTAGAACATCTTATATTAGTGAATAGAGGAAGTAGTGGGGAACCAGGAACTCATACAAACTCTCAGGTGATACTCCCTCCGTCCGGAAAAACTTGTCCCAAGCTTGTCTCTCAAATGGATGTATCTAGCACTAACTTGGTGCTAGATATATCCATTTGAGGGACAAGCTTTTCCGGACGGAGGGAGTACTACTGAATACTGATACTGGTGTTAACACAACTTCAAACCGGAGATGGTGTCGCCAAAAAAAAAAGAGACGGCGTTGTGACAACTGATCTTACAGTGAAAGTGAGTTGTGTTTGTAGCTAAAACTTTGAGGTGTTATGTACAGGGTACAGGTACAGTCGGTTCATGTTCATGTCGCATGCTTGTTACAAACTTACAGTCAAATCCTACTCCAGAATTTCTTCAAACTCTTCCCTTTCCGAGTGACCGGCCACAGAAAACCTACCAGCGCAACTGCGGAGCCTGGGGGCTGATCCGCTGCACACGGATGGGAGCAGCCTTAGAGTCACCAAGCATAGCTTCTGAGTTGGCCCCTTGAAAGTTGACATTCCAGATACGAGGTTTGCATGGACAGGTCCTTCCTGTTCGAAGCTCCAGCGCAATGGATGAAAGGTCATCACCGTTCATCATCTCTTGCTCTACTGTTTCTTAGCCAACGCAAGGGCTTTTGCCAAGTTCGATTTGGCAGCATCAAGCAAGTCGTCAGACTTGACAGCCTTCTCGAAACAGCTTACAGCATCCTCCCAACGGCCCTCCGCGACAAACACAAGCCCCAGATTGTTGTTGGCTGGGGCGTATCCGGGACAAATTTCCAAAGACCTGGATAACATCTTTCTTGCAAGTTCATACAGCCTGTGCTGCCGATAAAGGATCCCAATGTTCGAGAGGATTGCGTACGACTGCTGGCTTGACGATAGCACTAGTGCCCGTTTATACACAGTTTCAGAGGACGGATCATTCGATAACTGCAACGCAATACCTGTGTAAACAGCCATCGGTGCATACACATTAGTCATGCAGTTAATTCAGAAATAATGTTTAGGGAATCACAGATAATGATTGGGAGTTCTGGTAAATCAACTATGGCGGTGAAGTTCCTTTTCCAAAGGTATGACTTAGAGAGCATTGCTAGAATAATCAGATAACTTGATAAAATTTGAAGATTGATGGAACTTTAACCAAGTATACTAACAAGAAAATGTCAGACCGTTTATTTAAGCATATGACACATGACATTGACAAACATAAAAAAATAACATTCTGCTGGCTTGCTTACTCAAGATATATACTCCCTCCGTTCGAAATTACTTGTCGCAGAAATGGATGTATCTAGACGTATTTTAGTTCTAGATACATCCATTTCCGAGACAAGTAATTCCGAACGGAGGGAGTACATGACTAAACTGAGCTTCAAACTTACCGAGATTAGACCAAGCATAGCAGCATTCTGGGGAACGAGCTATTGCAGCCTTGAGAAAATTTACAGATCGACTAAACTGAGTTGTGCACATATTGTATAAGCCAAGCTGATGCCATTGAACAGCATCATCCGGGTCCTCTTGGATTGCCTGCAAATAAGATGTCAATATAATATTATCAATTTTTGCTGCTGTTTTCCAGTACCCATATTTTGCACTTTGTCAGTTCAGGATGAAGTGAATGGTTTCGTGGTGGTGATAGTTTGCAAACGTCACCTGCTTTAGTGTATAAAGAGCTCGCTCTTCTGCCTCATTTAGAATTGTCTGTTCACCATCATAAGCAGCTGCAATTTCATGCTGTGCCCTGTGAGCCATTGCCAACCCCGCCCATGCAACTGGGAGATCAACTACTGAAGTGTCTCCTTCTTTTAGAACCGTTGCCATCTCATTTGCAGCCCAGATAAGCTGATCATCAGAACATTGCAATCTTACAGCATCTCTGATACGGTGAACTGCAATAGCATACCGGGCAGGCATATGATTGGGTTCAAATTTTGCTGCCTGCAAATAATAGAAAAAAAAAGAATGTGATATCTACTTTGCCCATTTACCAAACCATCAGCAACTTCGTCACAATGAAATGTTGTAACACTGGGACCATCTAGTAAGTAGTACCATAACAAAAAGGAAGTACTTCATGGTATTGAGTACGCTACAGTGTTAGGCAATGGTGGAGCTGGAGGGAGATTGGCTGGTGGACAAGCATTTCTCAACTTGAATATTGTAAATTTCACTGAAGTTACTATACCACAAACTCAGTGATAACAGCCAGGATCCACAGTTTAAACCAGTTGGAAGCTCCGTGACTAGTCCAGTTTGAGGTACTGGCAGGGCAAGCGCCAAGAACTACTACCTCCGTCCCATAATAACAAGCGCAGGACATCATGTCACAACACACGTGGTAACCAGCTGGCAAACAGGCCACAGTTTATTTGGATGAACCATAGTAGTGTTCTTAGCAATGG